GGAAAGAAAACTGGCTTTTTATAGTCATGTGTATAAATCTTAAGCAGTAAAATTGTATCTCATTGTTCTTAATTGAAGTTGGAAACTGAGCAGAGTGTTAATAGGAAACTATCACACACTTGGTGTGTGTCACTTGTATTCACAGCTTATCAAGCAACTGCTGCAGGTTAAAAACAGCTCTTCTGCAGCCCCTCTTTGAATTTCAAATTTCAAGTCCTTGAATTTCAAAACCCTTACAGTTGTTTGCAGAGAACTACCTGTTTGCTCTCTATTAAGCAAAGCAACACAGTGTAGACCAGTGTCTGGCTCAAATGCAGATTACCTGAAAATGCACAGTAACAATTGGCTTAAACCAAATGGGCAAGTCAGGTTTTGACCGATCTTCCTGTTTCCACTGCCCCTTCTGTGTCCATACCATGGCCACGCGGCGGTTTTTAGCTAAATCATGTCCTTATGTGGCTGTATAATTGCTAGTCGTGACACAGAGTTGAGAAACTTTATACTGGGTCAGAAGAGAAAGTGGGCTGGTGGCAGCAAAATCTTAGCTCAACTTCACTTTTTTTAACCTATTCCTTCAGGCTGAAGTTACCTGTGCAGGAATACATTGCAATAGGTTTTTTTTAAGGCTTTTGGCCAGTGAGGAAGCTCTCATTTTGCACCATGTAATACAGCCTTCCACGTTTAGGCAACCTACAGGATTGTCCTGTTAAATAAAATGTATAGAACGTGAATTGGTAGATGACAGGTACATGTATATGGACAGGAGCAGGCTGCTGTCACTTGCTACCTTCACTTGCAGTTTAAAGTCTAACCTCCAGTGCCCTTGCAGCAGCAGGAAAACCCATTCCAGGCTCCAGGTGGCAAGGCTTGCTTTGCACAGGGCTGCAGCCATGGGAATTAGGGTTTTTAAAAGAAGAAATCCAGAGAACTAAAATACAAATGGTCTGTTTCTGCCTGCAGTTCTGCAGCTAGTGCTGGATCTGTGACTTGTTATACAGTCGAAGAGCAGCCTCAAGGCTCCCTCCTTAGGCTGTGTTCCCATATGTAGTATCAGCGTTTCTGTGCTGAGTCTGGTGGAAGATTTATCTGCTTCAGAAGCCCTCTGGCAGCTGCCAATAACAGGCACCTGGGGAAAGGCATTAGAACCTGCAGTCATAGTTTGCCTGGGTATTCCTCTCTCTTCCTGTCCTTTTCACTGTCTCCACGCCAGTTACGGTGTCCAATAGAGTGCATCTTCTTCAGTCATCCTTTCCCAAGCCTCATGAGTATTTAATATATTTAATCTCATATGTTTGGTATTTCTTTGCACACTTTCTAGTCCAATTATCTTGTGTTCAAGACAGGAGTCTGCTAAAGATTGTACAGCAGCGCATTGATGTTTCTGTTTTGTTCCTTTCCTGGTAATCCCTCTCACTCTTTTTGCTTTCTGACTGCTATTGAACACTGGGCTGATAAAATTGGTATTTCTTTTTTTCTCTGCTATGTGCTAATAGCTCTGCCTGTGCAGTTAAGTTTCTTTCTACTTGTGCATTGCTTTCTGTTTATGGCTGTTGTGTCTAACCTGTGAAATTATTGCCAGCCAGTCAGGATTTAATGTTCTTTTGTGGTCCGCTTTCCTTTATCTGGCATTGAATAATTTGGTATTGATAATAACTTCTGTTAGTCTTCTGCTGCCATTGGGGTTTTTTTGTGCATTCTGCTCTTTATCCCCCAACACTTTCTGGCTGGCCAGTTGTTGCTGGTTGCTGCTACATACGGCTGCTTGTCACCTTTTATCTCCTTGATGCTGAGCAAATATGGCAGGCACTGAGTTTTATGCAGGTTAAGAGCACAAATGGCTCTGACACACTTCAAAGATGCATCCCTCTGTTAGCTAGCAGGATGAATCTTTCTGTCACAGTGTAAAAATGCAACTTCAAATACATCAGTCCTGAAGGGGAGATCAGCTAGCAAATAACCTCAGGCTGCATTATTCTAGTTTTCTTCTTTTTTGTGGGCATCTTTTCTGAACTTCTGGAAACCCTTGTCTCCCAGGCTTTTGAACTGGATGTCAAGGATGCTGAAAACCCTTTTTCTCACTGCCTCTTTCTTCCTCATCTCTCCCCAGGAGCCCAGCACCGTGTCTTTCTGCCATGCTTGATAGTTTGTAGCATGATAAAGCAGATCATCAATTGGCTTTGAAAATAGCCCCTCTCGCTTTTGCCAGTTCTGGTCCTCAGTGACTCTTGAGTCCGCTTAACTGCAGAAGCTGCCGGCAGCTTTTGGAGAGGTCACATAAGCATCAGATCTGGCACAGGGTGGGTCATTTGAGCATAGCCCTGGGAGCAAGGAATGGAGACCAGGACCTTCCTCTGGTAACTTCAAGCAGTTACATTAACTCAAGCTACCCCGTCTAACCTCATCTTCAGCTGCGTGAAGCTGGTGATACAGCAGGCATTCGGCCTTCGGCGAGGGAAGGGGGGAATGCCCCTTCTGGTAGCGGTATGGACTAATGCTGAGTTGTCGGAGATGTGTAACAGAAGTACAGGTTACGCATGTTACCTGTGCAGGTGACACTCGGCCTCGTTGAGGACAGCCTGAGCTGTACAGAAGGAACAGCTCTGAATGGATTTGTTAGAGATGTTTTTCTATTCCTTTTGTAAAAGGGTAGGGAAGGGAAATTCTGCATAAGTATGTATAGAAGAAATGTTTTTCTTTTTTTAAAAAGAAGAGTTTTGATTTCAGGTCTCTGTTCAAAAAGTAATAGGCTGGGGCCTTCAGCCTGCTGGCGGGGCTGAGTCATACTCAGGACTGTGACGTCTTTCTAAGGTCTCGTGCTGAAGTCATGCACTACAGTTCTTGCACAACACTAGATTATCTGTGTTTCTGTGTCTGTTAACCTAACCAGTCCTCAGCCTAGGGTTTCCCAGGATTGTGGAAGTGTTTATGGTTAGACCACTAGCTATTTCCCTTTTAGTATCTCTGTAATGTGGCGTTCACTGTACATTCAATGCAATATACTCTTGTGGTCTTTTTTTTTTTTTTTTTTTAACCAGATCAAGAAGAATTAAATGCACAGTATGACCTGTTTTACCATTCAGTTATTCAGACAGTTTCTTCAGGCAGGTGGAGTAAATATAGACTGAAGACTGGCTGCCCTCCTTTCCTTTCTTACCTCTGCCATACCTTTTTGTTGAAAGGGAGAATACTTGGGCTGCACACTGAAGTTAAAAGCTACTTCACAACTGATACAAGCTGAAATTAGAGCTGTATTGGTGACTTGGCTCCAAAAGGTAGCTTCGGTGCTGCTTCTTCACTAAGATATTTAATGTTTTTGTTTTTCATGACTGTGAACAGTGCATTCTTCTTCTGATAAATCCATACAGCTTGTTGATTTTCTTTTTTATGTTTTCCCCCCTCTTTGCCAGAATGGAGTCATGTCTGGATTGATGCAAATGCTGCTTCTGAAGGTTTCTGCTCACATCACAGAACAGCTGGGAATGGCCCCAGGAGGAGAATTCAGGGAGGCTTTCAAAGAGGTGCGAACTTGAAATGGCTTTTCTGAGGTCAAATTACTGGCCTTTGCTCCCAGAGTCAAACTAAATAAAACCATTTGTTAGTGACTAGAAAAGAGCGCTCTGGCCATGCTTGTGCTGAAGCCTATGAAGTAGTACGAATCACCTTCGGCTTCAAAATGTACTCGGAAGTACAAAGGTTCGTAGCCCTAAGTGGCATGAAAGGAACTCCAAAAAGGCTTCTAATGATAAAGGCTTTTCCTGATGATATTTCTCATGGCATTTGTTTTCATTTAATTAAGTAATTATTTTGTTCCTGCTAAATAATTGGTTTTGAATTCTGGATATGGATACTGGTCCCACTGTTGGTGTCAGGGTTTCAGGCTGTGAAAACCAACGCTAAAGCATTATTGAGATCTAACACATTCATCTAGAAAGATTGTTTGGGGAAGTAAAATATCTGACTGGTTTGTTAGTCCTATCTGGTCTTTTAGCATTCCCTTTTATACTACTGCCAGCTGTGATACTGGGAAGTAAATAGTAGCTGGACTTCTAATGCATATCACAGCTACTTTTCTTTTTTTTCCTGGGAATACTGAGACACTATTTTCACTGTATGTATCCACCTCACAGAATGTATCTTGCTATTTTTATGTAAATTAGGTACTAGTAAGGAAATCTGAGATAACATAGCTGTTAAAGAATCTGGAATAATTTGGTGTATTTATCCTTAATAAAAAGAAAACTGTTTTAGGGCTTATTTTCCTGAACATTCCAGATAAGAGTGAAACATTTTAAGTGTTTCCCATTTTAAGTGGGAAAGAAAAAAATACGTGTACTTGCTCTCTCCTGTTCTAAGGTGGTGGTTTGAAATTTTTAAACAGGTATGCGTAGGAAAGAATTTTCTAGAACTTCTGTACTGTGCTAAAATTTGTCAGTCTAAGCTGCAGCGAAGTCTCACCTCACATTGTCATGTGATATCTGGCATCAGTTCTTGTTTCATAATCTCCTCTTGAATATATTTTACCATGACAAACTGATGGGTTGGTGATCCTGACAAGTCCTAGGTAAAAGCAAAATGACCACAGTTGATTCACCTTAGACTTTATTCAGACCCAGATGGATATTGAGCCCCATCTGTTCACCTTAAGTAGTCATAAGCAGGAGCTCTCTGGTTAGGTAAAAGTAACCTAAAGAGGGTGGCGTTACAGCTTAATGTTTTTACTGTTACACCTACTGCATCTTGTAGCTGATGTGTTCCTTTATGAAGCAGTACTTCGGAAATTTTATTTACTGCAAAGCCAAAATGTTTTTTGATGTTGAAGTATGACACTACTTGCTCTTTTTTAAGATACCTTTATATAACACAGTAAAACAAACATTCTGTTAATGAGGGTGTACTGTGCTGCAGTATGAAATGTTGACTAGTGATTCCTATCTTCTCTTTCAGGCCAGTAAAGTACCTTTCTGTAAATTCCATCTTGGAGACCGACCCATCCCTGTTACATTTAAGAGAGCAATTGCTGCACTTTCTTTCTGGCAAAAAGTCAAGCTTGCCTGGGGCCTTTGCTTCTTATCTGACCCAATCAGGTATGAATAAGCATCCCATATGTTTATCGGGGGTGAACTGTTCAATTCTTCAGTTTGACTTTAGTGCAAGCTGGAAGTCCTTGGTACCCAGCCTGATGCAGTGAAGCTTTAACTGTGAGAGGGGTAAATATACAAACTACCCTGCAATAATCCATATTTTTTAAAAGAAACCTGACTTTCTGATCTTGTTCCAGCTCTTCCTTTAATTGTCTTTTCATACATTACTTCTTGCTGAAGTGAAAGATTGGTGCTGGAGAGTTCCTAGTGTACTTTAAAAAGAAGGTTTTTTCTTTTTTTTATGGTGAAAATAAAATCTTTCCCGCTACTGTGTGTGGGTGTTGTAAATAGAGGAGAGCAGGGCCTGGCTGTGCTAATTTGTACCGCCTTAAGATTTCCAAAGGACTTGGGCCTGCTGTGCTAAGGCACATCTGGATTAGGGCAGCTTAAGAACTGAATCTGCTGTTTGAGCAGATTTTTGCAACAAGAGAAAACGTTTGAAGTCTGTGGACAACATGTGGAGTCTTAATGATTATTGCCTTTATAAAGGGACATTGTTAGGAACTTTTGCCTTACAGTGATAGTTCTCAGACAGCTATTCTCTTGCTCAGTTTGGTTTCCCCTGCCCTTCAGAGGCAACCCTGTGCCAAGTTTGCTTCCTCTTTCCACAAGTAGGTATGTGATAACTTGCTTGCACTGGGTGAGAACACATGGACAGCTGTCCTCCTAAATTCAGTCTACTCCTACCAGACTCACAGTGGTGGGAGGCTTGCCAGAAACGGGTTCCCTGTGCACGTGAATCTCAGTGCCTCGCTCATACCCTGTGACTAGAGCACAGCCTGTGAAGTGATCTGTGGCATTTTTTCCAGGCTTTTAAAATTGGGCCAGGGCTCAAACTGTAGTCTGGTCAATCAAACCTTCTGTTTTGCAGTAGTAGCATTTACTTAATTATCCTTTCCTGTAAATACTTGCTGTTACATTCATCTGTAAAATTAGTTTGACCCTCTTTCAGTCCATTAACTACAGTTCATGCACAAAGTAAGTTTTCCTACTTACTAGTCTAATACCAGTATGAAACTATTAGCAGGCTTTTAGGGGAGCACTGGGGGATAAGTTTCTCTGCAACTTCTCCCATCCTTTTATCCAACCGGTGACGAGTGGTGTCCCTCAGGGGTCCGTACTGGGACCGGTGCTGTTTAACATTTTCATCAATGACTTAGACAGCGAGATGGAGCACACGCTCAGCAAGTTTGCGGATGACACCAAACTGAGTGGTGCAGTTGACACACCAGAAGGACGGGATGTCATCCAGAGAGACTTGGACAGGCTGGAGAGGTGGGCCTGTGTGAACCTCATGAGGTTCAACAAGGCCAAGTGCAAGGTCCTGCACCTGGGTCGGGGTAACCCCCAGTATCAATACAGGCTGGGGGATCGAGAGCAGCCCTGCCTGGACATGAGCCAGCAATGTGCGCTGGCAGCCCAGAAGGCCAACCGTACCCTGGGCTGCATCAGGAGAAGCGTGGCCAGCAGGTCGAGGGAGGTGATTCTGCCCCTCTACTCTGCTCTGGTGAGACCTCACCTGGACTCCTGCGTCCAGCTCTGGAGCCCTCAGCACAAGAAGGCCATGGAAGTGTTGGAGCGGGTCCAGAGGAGGGCTACAAAAATGATCCGAGGGCTGGAGCACCTCTCCTATGAGGACAGGCTGAGGGAGTTGGGCTTGTTCAGCCTGGAGAAGAGAAGGCTGCGGGGAGACCTGATTGCGGCCTTTCAGTACTTAAAGGGGGCCTATAGGAAAGACAGGGAAAATCTTTTTAGTAGGGCCAGCTGTGACAGGACAAGGGGTAATGGTTTTAAACTAAACCAGGATAGGAAGAAATTCTTTACAATGAGGGTGTTGAAACACTGGAACGGGTTGCCCAGAGAGGTAGTGGAGGCCCCACCCCTGGAAGCATTCAAGGTGAGGTTGGACGGGGCTCTGAGCAACCTGATCTAGTTAGCGGTGTCCCTGCTCACTGCAGGGGGGTTGGACTGGATGACCTCTAGGGGTCCCTTCCAACCCAAAACATTCTATGATTCTATGAACATTTTGGTTTTCAATGCAATATTAAGATAATTATGGTTATGCACACTAGCTTCCCACTGAAGCTTGGACATAACATCTCAGTTGTCATACAATTGATTTATCTGCTACATTGATTTTTAAAAATACTATGTGGATAGGGGTTGAAAAGGAAATGTGTTTATAACTGGGAAGTTGTTGCAGGGAGTGGGGTATTGTGCACCCAGCCATCAACACAAGTTTCTACAGAAAATGGAGTAGTAATTCAGCATCAAATTTGTGTCAATCTGGTAGCTTTTCTGTGATCTTCTGAAACCTAGCAATGAGTTTCTCCTTTTGGTTGTCCCTGTTGATTTTTTTCTTTTTTGTGTCCTTTTGATCTTGGGAACTAAAGAAAGCATGTTTGGCATCACTCTTCAGTAGACAGTGATGCAAAACCAGATGATTCTGTTGCCACAGACTATGACTGTACCACAACTGTGGGTGCAAATAGAGGGTTAACAGCACTACAAAAAAATATCAAAGCTCATTACATTTACTCCTGCAGTTTTTATCTGTTTCTTTCCTGCCCTTTTCCTATTCTTCTGTTCAGGGAATTGGTTTCTAACTTTGACTTCCCTGCAGAAGACCTGTGATTGACACTAGGAACCTGCAGAACTCTTTCCACCCCCTCAGACTGTGCCTTACAGTGTGCTTTTGTTGTTCCTTAAATAGAGCCTCTGTGTGTTCAGTGATCAGACTTGCTTCCTTAGGAGTGGTTTGTGTTGCCTCTTCTAAGTTTATTAATACACCCTGAAAGTGGGGCACCATGGTAAATATTTCCTTCGAAGCCCTAGTGCTTTTGCTCAGTTGTGTTGTCAGCTTTCAAACTGGGAAGGGTGAAAATCCAGTTGCACTGCCTAAAGGCATGTGACCTCTCTTCTTTCCCTTTCCCTCACCATAGAGGCATTGTTAGTACCCAGTTTTACAGGTTTAGGGAGTTTGCTTTGCTTTTGAAGAGGAGAATCGGGGGAGGAGAACTGTAGAGTGTGGGTTTATGTGAATAAAGTGTATAATACCCAATTGTTTTTATTAATTGGTTTGTCTGTATTGGGCTTTAAAAGCATAACAGATACTGAGAAAACTTACCTTTCTTTCAGTAAAGATGATGTGGAGAAATGCAAACAGAAGGATTTACTGGAGCAGATGATGGCAGAAATGATTGGAGAATTTCCTGATCTTCATCGAACGATTGTCTCGGAACGAGATATTTACTTGACCTACATGCTGAAGCAAGCAGCAAAGCAGATAGAACTACCTCGAGCTTCAGAAAGTAATTGCTTTAAAGCAGATACCATAACCAGCAAGGTGTTCTTTGTACACTAGTCCAAAGTTCAGTTCTTCTCAGGAAACCTGGGATGTTCTGTTCATGTGTGTCATGTAAGACTACAGTGCTTAAAAAATTAAAAAGGGATATTACTCTTCTGTTGCAACCACCTATAGAAGTAAAGAATTTTCAGAGAGCAGTAGACTCCAAATTACGATTCCTTTTGTACTGTGCTGTTTAAAACTGGAAAATAACAAATTAGCCTGACAACTTTTGCAAAAGGCAGGCATCTGGTATTACAGCACAGCATGGGACAGCTGAGACTGACATTGCCTGTCTCGCTTCCACCTTGTTACCTCACCAAATTCATTGTCATTACTAGCTGCTCAGGAACACATTTCTTGCTTGAAACATGTGACTCTGCATGTTTCAGCAAGGTATAAGCATACGGAATAATGGCGTTTCTCTAGCCTTTGGAAGTATTTTGCTGCTGTATGTGATCTGCGTGCCCTTCCCATATATAAGCATACTGAGGTATAGGTTACCTCTTATTTGCTGTCTTAAAATACTGTTTGTAATGACTTCAGTGCAGACCTCTGGTGCTGTTTTCTGATTGAAAAAATAGCAAGGGGATTGCACTTGTAGTGTTGTATCTCCATTGCCTAATATTGCCTCAGTGCTGCCTTCAGAAAGTTTGTCCAAACACACAGTATTTCCTGTTACCTCAGTTGATGTGGCTGAAAGAGGCATGGATGCATTCAGTTACTTGGTCCAAAGAGCAGGCTGAAAAATTTAGTTTTGTTGTTCGTCCTATCTGGGTCATGAACTGCAAGAGGAATTGTTTAGCAATTCCCCTTGCTCTCTTTTCATATTTTTTTTTTTTCTCCCTTTAAATCTACCTCCTTGAAAGCTCAGTCTCTGGATCACTGTTTAGTGAATGCCTATGAAACTGGAAGGGGTTTATATGCATTATGAAGGACTTACTTAAAATAGAAGATGGGACCATAAAAGACAAGAATGTGAGGGACTACCTGACCCATAGTCACGTGTCTCAGTCTCTTGTAGCAAGAGACAATGCCAGAGACAGTTTTGTTTAGAAGCTCTGCATTTATATTCTATACATATCATCTGTTCTTATGCATTCATGCTCATGAGAGGTAAAAAGAAAAAAGGGAGGGGGAAGCAAATTACATACTTCAGATTCATAGTAAAATACAAAATCCCACAATTCAAATGAGCAGAAATAGGGCATCAACACCATTGTCCAAATCATTTGCTATTATAAGGACATAGGAGAAATTCCTGGACGCTATTTGCAGGACTTAAATATGCTTTTGGTCTGGTGTATTCCTAAACTAGGTCTGATTTGTTCCTAGCCTTCGTCTGACTATTTGCATGGGTGAACTCTTCCAAAGAGCTTGCAAATTAAACTTTCACCTTTAATTTTTCATTCTGTCTTCACTCCACACAAAATATTCTGAGAGGGGGATAAAAGTTTCTTCTAGGACTAAGTTTTAGGCAGGGCTTTAAACGTTACTGGTGCCATCTTTGCATCCTGCCCTGAAGCATACAGGAACATACGGGTGGAGGTTGGAGCCGATGTGAGGTGCTCTGGACAGCCCCTCCCGCTGAGGTGCTGCACTGAGCCTCTGTTGTAGTTGCAGCTCTGGTTTAGAGCAACCCTAGAATAGGCTGAGAAAAGACAAGTCTGAAGAAACAATTTTGAAAACGTGTATAATAGTTCTGGGCTTGTTTCACTTGGGGGGGACAGGGTCTGTTTTTCAAAATTTTTTTTTTTTTTTTTTTTTTTTTTACTTATTCCTGGAAAAATTAAGGGTACATATTTAAAGCAAGACAGTGGAACTTACTCCCATTTTATATTTATGTATTATATTTATTATATTTATATATCATTTTCCCTATATGAAAGCAGCCTGATTACCATTACTTAGAAAGTTTTCTGTGAATTATTTTTATAGTGGCGTGGTGCCATTTTTTCATTGTGGGAGAAGTAATCCCAAAACTTTCAGGAACAACCTTTTAACTTCTGCTGGGTGTTGTGGAACTTGGATGCTAGATGGGAGGGGAGGGTGAGAGCCGGCACGTGTTGCGGTGGTCTGCTGGGGACTGGCTGGCTGCCGCGCACGAATGGTACGGGTTTTGCTGTTACTTGCTGAGGCTGGGTCTGTAACAGTAAACTTAACAGGGGCAGGTGCAGTCTCGAGCGCTGTTCTCTGATTGTTCGTTCTGCTTGTTAGCCCCAGGTCTTGTCACAGTTTGGACATGTGCCAGCTGCCACTGTCCAAAGTGGTGGAGAAAGCTCTCCATTTGGGAGACAGCTAAGACCAGAGCTGTTCCTGATAAGCAGTACAGAAACAGGACCCACACAGGGAAGGAAAGGAATTTAATTTAGCTTGCATCTGCTGAGCCTCTCACCCTGAGGCTGGAGTATGAGCCCTGGCCAGGTCTGTTTCCTGGAACAAATGTTTCCTGAAAATCCAGAAATCATGCTTATTTTTTTCAGACTTTCAACATAAGAGGCAGTAGGTGAGATGAGTATTAACTTTTAGTATGTAACAGTTTCAATATCTAGTAGTTAAGAGTCCCTACCTCTTGGAAAATTCAATTTTGTAATCTCACACATTGCCTATTTATTTGCAGCTTGAAATTAGTTCTTTTGCTGATGTGGTTTTTTTCTCTCCATCTCTCTTTCTCAGCTGAACCCAGAAACTATATCCCAGCTGTTGTAGTTGGTGTTGTTGGGATGGGTCATGTACCTGGGATTGAAAAGAACTGGAACTCTGACTTAAACATCCAGGAAATAATGAGGTAACACTTATCCTTTCCTATGTGTTGATGTAACAGCTGCTCTCACTAAAAGACAGCAATAATGGGTTTGTTTGGGGTTTCTTTGGTTGTCACAGCTTGAAGAAACATCGCTGCTGTCATCCCTGCCCTGTCAGCTCACTGACTTGCTGTGCAGTGCTTGCAGATTGTGCTTACAGCAAAGGAAAAGAAAATAACAAAGTGAAAAAGTAAATAGTTGGATATCGAGGGAAGTAGAGATGAGAAGATGCCCTTGTCTAGAAAGAAAATTCATTGATCCACATTTAAAGCTTTTAAAATAAGATTCAGATGAGGGCTATAGAAGATGGTGAAAACAAAACCAGGCTTCCAGTCTAGCTTAGGTAAATACAAACTGCTGGATTCAAAGCTTCTGTTGTGTCAGGACAATGCTGGCTCTGGCAAGCTTACTATCACAGTTGCTCATAGCCTGTTTATAACTGTATATACATAAAAATAATAACGTATTTTAATGTGTATGCCTAAATATGGGACACTTTAAGGCACTTACTTTGGAGTGACAGTTCCCCAGGCACCCATTAAAATAGATTTATGTGCTTTGTAAAAGAAGGAATTGAAGAACCAAGACGTTCAAACTATGTGTACCCTATAAAGCCACAAAGGTCAGGACTTTAGAAATGCAGGAGGGATTGTAGTACGACCTGGTAGTACTGGTCTGCAGTGGTTTAGGATAATAGAGCCTTTCAGATATTGGCACTTTATCTTATCACATCTGTTTACTGTGTTTATGTAACTGCCTCACCCACCTCCTCAGAGGCTCTGAAAAACAGAAGAGACTGTGTCCCATCTAAATGGTGTATTTAGGCGTCTAAAATATGGTGTAGAGACACTTTTGGTGTCCGGATCTAAGAATGCAGTTTACAGAAGCCCTAGCCATTTGTAAGTCTCTTTCGAGGCTAAGCCTTGCCTGGAGTCACAGACTAGATGTCCGTATTCCTCCATGCCCTCGTAAATAACCTGTAAAATGAAGCTGCCTAAATCTGTATAATTGCATGGTTAATGTTTGTTGGTTGCATCATTGACATTACAGAACTGAATAGCCAAAAGACTGACTACAAGTCTTCAAGCGTCTTTTTTGTCAAAGTTTAGGCTCTTTGACTTGATTGTCTTTACTGTGCCAGCGCCATAACTAAGTGGAATGGTTACCAGTATCTTTCATAAGACATTAATGTTTCATTAACTTGACTTTCTAAAACAATATGAATCAAATTACAGTCATTACTATATTTGGGACTCATTTCTCATTAAACTTTTTTACCCGTCATGCTGTTGGTCTGCAGTTGCAGAGCAGAGTTATGGGGGATTTTTGTGTGTTAGTGGTTGTCACCTCTCTAAAGTAAAAAGTTTTGAAGACTAGTACAGGTATTTAGTTAAGCTTTACAAGTTGCAAAGTGATCTTGGAAATCTGGATGGAAACATACACATTTCTCAGACTTCCAATTTTTAAGTTCATGCATTGAACCTGACTCTGAGCAGACCTTACTGTTCGCTTTGGATTTTTATGAACTGGTGTGTTTTAAGTTGTGCTGAGGGACTGGAATTGAGACAGAAGCGATAGAGAAGCAGGTAAGAAGGTGTAAAGGGATACCATTAGCCCATCCTTTGCTCAATGTGTGTGCTTTTTTAAAACTCTTCCTGCATATTCTCTTCATATGCAAAATCTTACCAGTAACTACTTCGCCCTAGCTTGAGCACATGGATCTGAACTCAGTCTAGTTGTATCCTAATCTCAGCGTATCTAACCTGGTTTGAGTGTGCCCATAATGTTTTTGCACTACTGTAACTCATTGCTTCCAAATAAATTAGAAACACTTTCTAGATATAAATAAATGAGAACTTGTGACCTCTTGAAAAGACATGCAGAGACCTCCCCGTCCCCCGTGAGAGGATTATCCCAGTAGGCATGCTGTGGGTGCAGGGCCAGCTGAGGTACCGCAGAGCCGGTTAGCAAAGGTGCAGGGCTACATGTGCATGTTGCTGTGCCTCCAAAGCCAGCTTTATTTTGATGGTAATATTAACCATTTGCTTCGTACACTAAGTTAATAAGGCTGCTTGAAGGCAGGGGTAGACCTGGTGTGCCTGTTGTCCTCTGACCTCCTGGTTCCATGTGGCCAGTGCAGAGACTTCCAAGCGGCTCTGTGAAGATCTCAAAGCCAGCAATACCTGCCAGACCGGAGACAGCTTCATGCAAAGCCTCTCTGATCTGTCTGCACTGTCCTCTGAGGAGCTCCAGAGGCTGAGTGTGCTGCAGGGGCTTGGCCTCCACACGCTCACACTGGGAGCTGCAGCTAGGCTGGTAAGCCTGCCTGGCATCCAGGGGTACACACCTTGCTGAAACACCCCCTGAAGCTGTTCAGGGGCCAGCCTGGCTCCAGACTTACCCCTTCTGGCCGCACAAACCTGACCAGGTCCTGACACACGTTGTGCAGAACATCCAAGCTCTGTTTTCCTCCATTACCCTGAATTGACTGTACAGGTGTTGGACTTGGGCTGTGTCCTGTGTTTTTTCTGACTTTTGTCTCTGTGCAGAGATATGCACGGTAATATTATAAACAGTTCGACAAGCAGTATTAACTTTTGGTATTCTTCAAGAAGTCTTGATGTTGGTTTTAGTTATTTTGATAGGGTGATGGGCAGGTCAAGGTCCATAGCCATTAAGAGTGGCATCATACACAAGTGGAAAAAGCTTTATTATTATTTGTTGTTGTTACTATTTAATTTGGATGTAGCCCTTGAACATGAAAGAATACATTGTTCGTTCATGACACATCTGTTACCTTGACAGTCTCTATAAAGGGGAAGGGAGAAAAGGTCCTTGTTTTGGTTGGAAAATGGCCATTCTTTCCAGCTATGCAGGTGCTAACGTTGTCTTGTATTTTTTGCTTCAGTGTGCCTCCTCCATCAGCTTCAAGTAAGATTTTCAAATTTGTCATAAAAGCAACAGTTTTTGGACTGATGGGATATGGCTGCTACCGAATAGGTCAAAGGACAGTCCGGTTTATTCTCTCGATGCCAGCAGCACAGAGCTATCTTCAGAAGCTGACAGAGATAAGGTCTCAGCATTGAACATCGAGCGGAGGCGCTACATGAAGAAGGTGGCTGAAAAAGGGTGATAGAGGCAACAGATGTGAACTGGACTGAAAGGAGATGAGGATTCTAGTCAGAGGTGATTGATGCTGAGCAACGCTGACTCGCTGTATAATTAAATATTTGATACTAAAGTTACACCAGCTATGATCTAATGAATAGGTTTGATTCCTGGTAAGCGTGTTGCATGAAACCACGTGATTCCAGACTGAGGTAAAAGAAATATGTACGCAAAAATATATATTATATATATGCACACTGTATATATAATATATATTACTGATGATGTAGTACAGACAGCTTAAAGAGTGTATGTTCATGACTTCTTTTCCAGAGGAAAGGAACAACGCGAAGTAACCTAATTGGCTGCATCTGCTCCAAAGTTCAGGGACACTTGTCTTGAGTGATTCTTTGCTTTTTTTCCTTGGGTATAATTAATACCTAGTGGTCGTTTCTGGTGCCAGACACTTTTACACTTAATTTAGGAGGGCATCTTCTCAATGTGTGTTTTATACTTAAAACATTTAGGCTTTTTTTAAACTTAAGAGCTTTCCAGAAATTTCAGAATTGTACAGGCTGTCGTACGTACACTGCTCAAATTTTTTACAAGCCTTACTGAAGAACAGGAACGTTGCCTTTAGATTGCATCCCTTGTTACAACCACCAGTCGAATTGTCTTTCTCCTGCATAGAGAAGGTTTAGCCACGCCATCAGAATGCAGTGTGGTTTGTGTCAGATGTTTACAGGACACTGTGTTCCTTTAGATTAGCTTATTTAAACTGTATTATTTAGCCAAATCCTGCTGGATTCAGTATTGTAAATTTAAGAGACTAGAACTACTGTACAATTTGCTTTTGTTTCTCAGACCTTTCACTATTGGGACAAGAAGTCTGGAATTCGTAGTACCTGCCCCTCTTTTTTGATACATGAAAATTTTTTATTTATCAATGTAATTGCTCAGTGGATGAATATTTTAATCTATTTAATAGAAAAGCAGTGTTCAATTTAGTTTTTCAGTCTAGCTGTAGCATTTTATTTGGATTACCTACTATTTATTCATAGAATTATGGGTATTTCAAACTGCTATGACTTTCTTCTTTAATTTTCCAGGACAGCCATCCGTCATCGGGGGGAAGGTGGGGTGGGTGGTGTTCGTTTTGGTGGGGGAGGGTGGGTGGGGTGTTGGGGTTTGTTTTGGTTTGGTTTGGGGGTTTTTTGTTTGTTTTAATCCTAGGTTCATATTTCATAGGAATTTTTTTGGTACCCTTTAGACAGGATTGTCAATGATTGTAAAGTGCCCTCTGCAATCAGCTTGTCCCAGTTCAACAATAGACATAACTGTAACTGTCATATCAAAGTTTTAACCTGACATATTTGAACAGAAGAGTCCCGTTTGCTCCTCAGGCTCATATACAGTTGCTCATCACTTAAAGTGAAGTTTTTATCTGCATTGATTTCTTTTGGGAACGAAAGACAGGAACCAGTGTGTGAGGCAGGAGGAGGAAAAGGTGACGTGTTTTGTGTTTCTTTGTTGTTTTCAGTTGGTTCAATAAAATCAACAAAGAGCTTTTGGTAGGGTGTATTTCCAAAGCCTCATGTTGGAAATCGTCCCATACGGCCTGTTGTTTGCTGAAAGTACGCACGTGTATCTTCTGTGCGGCGTTGTCTTTTTTCAAGCTTTTTAAATTAAATTAAGGGTCTGATGCTCCTCTCTGTGATGGCATTGACTTTGCTGGGAGCTGGTCTGTCCATGCAACCTGAATGCTTTTCTGCCTTGCACTTGGAAAATTTTTTGAGTCCCAGTGCAGCAAATCATTTAAGTGCATGTTTATCTTTAAACCTATTAAATCTAACACGATCCTCCAGAGCTCTTAAGACGATGCTAGGTGCTTTTCTGGATCTGGGCCTTACAGTCGTGCAGGGAATAAACCTTGGCAAATGAGAATGGCAGCAGTTCGCACTTCTTGGACACACAGTGCAAATGATAATACAGAATACAGTGGAGGCAGGTCCTTTTATTTTCTATCTATCAGTGCTTAAGAAGCCGCCAGCCATCTCTAGCGAGAGGAAAAGCGGCATTTGTAAAACAGTTTCTATAGAAGACTAGAGTGACTGCCTGAATTTTGATTCCTGATTTTTTTTTTTTTTTTAAAGGTTTAATGTGTTGTTTACAATTAAGCAATCCTATTTGAAGAATTCTATTACATTTTATGTATGTTTTTAAAAGATTAAAGCAAAAGCTTAAGGTCATTCTTCTCCTGGCTTTACTGACCTACCAAAATATTGGTTTGCTAGTTGTTTTTTTGAGAATTTTTGGCTGGTAGAATTCAATATCTTGATGTTTTGCTTTAAGTTATCTACAGATTTTTAAGGTATCTGCAGATCTTTTAAAAGTTCTGTAGATCTTTGACATCTGTGCTCAGGTAATTTTACACAAAGGAAAACAAATCTAAGGTAAATTTTAGATATGAGCCTTAAACTTGGGTGGGACTAACGCTAAATGATTGTCATGGAGCATTCTTGCAGACTTAATGTTTTATGCTTTTTAGCCAGAAGTGATTACTGTGTATCTGGTCATTACTCAGTTACTCTCTCCGGTTAATACCTGAAGTCTATCGTTCCACTCTCTCTTTTCACAAAGCATATCAGCAGATTCTTCAAGGAGCCTGTTTGTGGACAGAGAATTTGCAATTTATCTTCCCACTGTTGCAGACTGGCAGATCATACACATGCACTGTTTACTCAGTGGCACTGGAAAGCCTGATGAATTTGCAGAACTTACAACCCTATGAATCCACACGCGAATGCTCAATGTTGTATATCCAATGTGTTGTACTGTTTATGTAACATAATCAGTGTTTTAGGTCCATTCCTTTCTGTTCTAGTCAGTCCTTTCAATGTTAACAGCATCCTGTAAAATTTAAATACATGTTGAATTGTCCTAGCCCTGCCTCAACCTTCTGAAGCCATATTGTATTTTTTTTGGTGACATGTACATCTGTTTTATGCATTTGTACATGTGATGTAAATCTGAAGTATTTTTAACATAACGTGTGCCTTTACTCTAAAGTGATTTAAAGTAAACAGCAGTATGTTCTATGATATAAAAAATAAAATATTTTAACCACTGTTTCTGTTGAAGGCATTTATTTTCCTTATTAATCAGTATTTTTTCTGAGAACAAACACTGGTTAGCTAGACCTGGTTCATGGTAATTTCACCGTCTAACACATTTTTCTGAACAAGAACATCAGTTGGGGTAAATGCCTCCTGCTGAGGGGCACTGGAGCGTAATGCTGAAGTAGGGAGGCTGGCTTCTCTGCCTGACGCGTGTGGTGGGTTAAGAGAGGAAAGGACCAGTTTCCCCGCCCTATTGAGCATGCAGGGAGACTGACTCAGTGACTACCTAAACTCCGAGTCCAGAGTCAGGTGTGGCAAGTTGACTACTTCTTCTTGTTGTTCCTTTTCTTTTAACCTCTCTCCAGTGCTCAGTCATGCAAGGAGCTGATGGCCTTAGTCCCAGTCCAGCAAAGCGCTCAAACACTGGCCTATCTTTGGGCACGGTCACTTGTGCTTAAACTGCTGTCCTCTGCATGGGAATTACAGAGACCCTGTAGGTGGAAAAGGTGTTGAATTAGTGGCAAGAAGAGTTTAATCTTTCAAACTGAGCCATGTAAATCAATATGACTCTTACTAAAAAAAAAAAGCTATTCATAAAAAGACCCTGTATTCTTACCAAAAGTAAGTAAATATGATAAGCTGTATTCCATACAGATGATGTACCAGCTGAATAGTCTGCTGATTGTACCCTTTGTCAGTCCATGGTCCGTACTTTTTGACTGTATGTGTGTGAAGCAAGGCACAGTCCTGTTTCCCTTGATCAGGCAAAGTTCCTTTTGGTTGCACTTGGAGCTGTGTCTGCAAAGAAGTGCTGGGTAAGGCATTTAGGTGGAAGAAAAAAAAAGTAAATACTGTTGTCAAGTACTGTCCGTGACAGTGGCAGATGGCGTGGTGTGCGCCGCTGGAGCTCAGTTGGGCAGCCTCAGTTTGCACACCTGCACGCACAAAAGGGCGCCGCCTGCTTTCGGTGGGTATTGTTCCCCAGCGTCATGTGCACACCACTGGCCTAGGTCATGCTTATCGGGTGTCTTTTATACCCAATACTGAACCAAATTAAAGAGTTGATTTTTGAGGTGGATTAATACTGCCCAGATTTCCAGTGGGAGGTGGGTTTTTTTCTGTGCATGTATTGTAAAACATCTAAAAGGTGCTGAGAAATACCTTGAGTTGTCTCAAAGTGCCAGGCCGTAGTGGGAACTAAACATGGAAAAGAAACAATGCACTGTCACTTGTGTAACGCTGAGATGCGCGTGTGCGTATTTGCCTGTTTCTTTATAAAACCGAAATAGACTTTAATTTTAGACTTGAGTGTTTCGAGACTGATTTTTAATACCTTGAGTTGTCTCAAAGTGCCAGGCTGTAGTGGGAACTAAACATGGAAAAGAAACAATGCACTGTCACTTGTGTAACACTGAGATGTGCGTATTTGCCTGTTTCTTTATAAAACTTTGGCTTTCCTGGCTCTGGTGGACAGAATTCAGGGTGGTGCTGAGCCCTTTCAGTTGGCTGTGGAAGTGTGCATGGAAGATGTCAACCCCAGGACAGGAGTAGCTGTGGAGATAGCTGAAATGGGACTACTGAACTGTTCAGGTGATAAAATACAACCGCTGTGCGTGCACCCTGCAGCAGCAGCTCTTTTGTGTCTGTCTGTAGGTGAAGTGAGATGGGCAACAGCTGGAGGGGTTGGTGGGGGGTGCATGGCTATCCCCCCCCGCCCCATGTTGCCTGCCTTCTGCCTGCTGTGGTTGTGCCAGCGGGGAGCAAAGTAAGCTTTCGGTATGCCGGGAGGCAACAGCAGGGAGGATGGGGCTGGCCTTACCCTCACCTCTGGCAGGGAAAAGGGGGGCAACCGCAGCAAGACTGTGCCCTTGGGTCGTGCCACCCGGCTCTGGCTCCTCGGGTAGCTCTGTGCTGGGGTGGCTGTGGTGTAATGTGACGGAACGCTAGCGTCTGCCTGCTTGTTTGGTGAGTTGTCTGTTGGCTCATGTAGCGCTGTACGGGGAAGCGCTGGTGGCGTTGGTTTGAGGAGGGGGAAGACACACACTACCACTTTCACGCTTCCCTCATCCGTGATACTCAGGACCAATGCATTGCGACTGATGCATGAGGGAAAATGGAAAGAATCAGGCTTATGCAGACTTTACAAATTTAAAAAAAAAAAAAAAAGAGCAAGCTCTGTTACAGTGTTCTTTCAGTTTCAGGAGGTTGTGTCTCCTCCCAGTTAAGTGACATTCTCTCAGTGGTAACGTGTCCCTGCTTTTGGCTACAGAGGTGATTCACAACCTGGGCAAAGTAATTAATTAAGGGTGACATTTTGAGTAGAGGGTGCTGGTTATTAAGGCACTGTGTCTCTGCAGCAGCTGAACAGCACAGCTGCCGTCCTCAGGGCCAGCAGGAGCACTCGCACGCATTTGTCCCTGGAGTTGTGCGGGGCCCGGGCTGGCAGGGCCGCCGGGTGCTTCACCCCAGCAGGCTGCGAGTCCTCCACCAGCCCACAGCCTCCCTCCACCTCCCTGCATCTCCCTCCATCCCCACGCAGCCTCTCGCCCAGCAATGACCGCCCCGGTTCTTTGGAGCTGAGACAGAGTGTCAGGGTTTTACTTTGCCTTCTGATTTAGCTGGAAAATACAAGTAATAGCAATAATTTAGTGCCATCTACTGACTGCAGGTGGTTTACCTGGTGTGTCTAAGTAAGTGGAAGCACCTACCAGACCCTGAGGCTATTTCTTCAGAGAAGGTGAGCATGCATACCTGGGCGAGGTTTGGAATCGACTCACCGCTGCGGTACCTGCTATTAACTGAAACGGCACAAAACAGGAGCATCCTGAATAATTACTGACTTGTAGCATGTGCCCATTTCTCTTTCTCCTTGTGATTGTACTGATGCTTGAGCAGCAGATTCCTGATGGATTGGCAATAACTTATTAACCTTCACTTAAAAAAAAGGTAAGCATCTGCCAAAAAGCATAACGTTGCTTCTAGGGTAC